TGCCTGGCCACCACTCCACACGCCATAGGCACGTTCCAGGGGTCACTGAATTACAGGGATACAAGATTGGGGGGGCAGTAGGGATGGTGTGGAATGACTAGGATCACTCCTTTCTCTTCCTGACTGGAAGAGTAAAGGGCCAAAAAAGCAGGAGGGAAGAGAATGGAATGAAAGGAAGGTTAATGACAGGCACAGCATCTCTCTGTTTCCCTCCCTCTCTCTGTCTCTGTCACACACACACACACACACACACACACACACACACACACACCCCTTTCCTGGCAGGGAAGAGTCAAGGTCAAGTGAAGCTGGCTTATGTTCCCGGGGAGGCCAGCTGGGCCACCTGGCTTGGATTTGACTTAGTCCTCCCCTCGAGCTAGTTAGACCAATCCCTGAGTGCCCCTCTTTGATCCCCAACCCAGGTGGGACAGGAGCAGCCTGGAGCAGTCTCCCAGATGCTGGCCTAAGCAGCCCCTCCCCGAGTGCTCCCGGTCCTAACCCACGGGGCCCCACAGGCACAGAGCAGGCCCTTAGTAAATGCTGAGGACAGCTGGCAAAGCCGCTATGATCCCATAAGGAAGGGACCTCAGAGGTCAGCTGGTTCAGGCCCCACGTTTGGCAGAGAAGAATGCTGGGTCTCAGAGAGAGGGAGTGATTTCTTCTTGCTAGAGTCATAGATGTAAAGCTGAAAGGGACCCCGGAGGCCACTGACCCCAATCCCTTCATTGTACTCATAAAGGAATGGGGTTTAGGGAGTTTAAACGACTGCCCTGAGGTCAAGTGGCTATGAGCATCAGAGGAAGGATCTGAATCCAGGTCCTCTGTCTCATTCTGCTGGGTCCTGTGACCACTTTGGGTTGGCGCAGAAGGCCATTCTTGTGTCAGAACTTGATCAGATCCAGAGCTTGGCATGCTAGAGAGGCCAGAGTCTCAGCTCTCGAATCAGAGGGCCTGGCTCTACCATTTACAAGGTGGGTGATTCTTGGCCTGTCACTCGCCTTCTCTGGGCCTCAGTTTCCTCATCTGTAATACGAAAGGATTGGACCTGATGACCTCCAAGTTTCCTTTGAGCTCTAAAACTGATCCAATGAGTCATGGTTGAGGGCGGCAAGATGGTGAGGAGAGAGATGCTAGAGCAGGGTCCAGGAAACCTTAGCCTGCCAAAAGGCAGTGAAGGAAGTGTGGTGCAGTGGAAAGAGCCAGGAAGACCTCTCCTCTGATACCTCCCAGCTGGAGGCAAATTACCTTAACCTCTCTGAGCCTCAGTTTCCTCACCTGTAAAATGGAGATAATCAGACCTGCAGAAGTTAGCACAGAGGTTTGTTGTGAAGCCTGAGACAATCGATGTAGAGCAATTTATCAACATAAACGGCTCTACAGAAATGTTATTATTTTATACCCTTTTTCTGTTGGGAAACGGGGACTGTCTTTTTCCTTTCTTTGTGTCCCTGGTGCCCGGCACCCAGGAGGTACTCGATAAGTGCTCAGTGACCTGACCTGACTTCTTTATTTGGCAAAATAATCAACAAGAACCAAAGTCTTAGAAGGCCAGGAGATTCTTTTCAGGATGAACTTTGGCCGAATTCAGACCCTGCCCTTCCAGGTGGTTCTGCTCAGTCTGGACATATCTGCTCCTCTCATTCCCTGGGCTGCCTAGTGGTTTTTGTGTGGGGTCATGCTCACTTCCTCAGTCATCCTGAGGACCCTGTTCTACTCTGCCACCATAGTTCAGGTCCTCATCATCTCCTGTGTGTACTAGAGTAGCAACCACCCAACGGGGTTCCCTTCTCAGTGCCATAGTCTGGGTCCTCATCATCTCCTGTCATCTCCTGTGTGTAATGTTCATGTTCATGAACCTATCACTATAGGGTAATAACGACTCAACTGTGTCTCCATCTCACCACCATAGTCCAGATCCTCATCATCTCCTGTGTGTACTATAGTAACAACCATGAGTCCCCTTCTCAGCGCCATAGTCTGGGTCCTCATCATCTCCTGTGTGTACTATGGTAGTAATGACTCAACTGTGTCTGCTGTGTGTACTATAGTAATAAGGACTCAACTGTATCTCCATCTCACCACCATAGTCTGGGTCCTTATCATCCCTTGTGTGTATGACAGTAATAACAACTCAACCAAGTCCTCATCTCACCACCATAGTTGAGTC